AGATTGCTTCAGACTGGATTCTGTCGGTTCTCAGCCTGGCAAGGTTCTCCCTGCCGGGAAATACTGCCTGACTGGCTGAGGGGACGGGGTCTTTTGGGGGGTCAGAAAATCGGTGCCTTTCTCCCCACCCCCTGCTGAGGAAGAATGCAGGTAAACTATTGATGGGATCAGAAGGAAACATTAGCATAGGGAAGCACTTCTTTGTGAATGGAAAAGTCTGCATTTGTGATGGAATAGTCTGCTAATCCCACAGTTCTCTGGAATTAGCATTTGAGAAGGAGGGATCAGTCAGCCAGCCTCCTGCAGGCGATCTGGGGCTGAGCCGTGTCCTAACCTCCCTGGGCTTCATCGGGCGCCGGCACCTAAACCGATTTCTGGGAAGCCTTACGGGAAGCCCCGTTCTGTGAGGCGGCTGTTACAGGAATACCTGGTCCGGTGACCTTGACAATCCCTTCTCCCCTAAGAACCTTTGATTCTCTCCTGGCAAGAGTGTCTGCAAATCAGTTTTTGACAAATCAAATATTTGTAGATTAGAGGGCAGTATTTACATTGAGGGAAATGGTGTTTTTAGAGCCCTTGTTTGTCCTCGATATGGTATCAGGTCAGGCTGTTTAAAGTTACACATACCTTGGTATACTAACAGCGTCTGTTGCCATTCCTAGTTGGAACTTATGTTGTGTGTTGGAACTCACACACATGCACACGTGCTCAATCTTCTACAATATTCAGCTTAGTATGATGTGTAGAGTAATGAATCTGACCAAAGTCCACTCTTGGGACATTGCCTCTTTGGCTCACTACCTGTTACTGATGCCTGGCACAGTGGTTGACACACTTAAGGTGCTCAAAAGTATTTGTGGGAACATCCAAGTATTTTATAATAACATTCTAAGGTAAATGTATAATCTTTGCCCTCCTAGCCCTGTGCAGAAAGGCCCTTAAGTATTTTACCTCACTTGAAAAAATTATAACTAATTCTTTCTTTTTAAACATTTTATTTATTTATCTTTAGAGAGGAAGGGAAGGAGAGAAGGAGAGAAACATCAATGTATGGTCGCCTCTCGTGAGTCCCCTGCTGGGAACTGGCCTGCAACCCAGGCATGTGCCCTGATTGGGAGTCGAACCGCGATCATGTTCCACTGCGCGGTTCACAGGCCCGCGCTCAATCCACTGAGCTATGCCAGCCAGGGCTAATTCTTTAGATGTCAAGGTTAGAAACAAAAAGCTCCCCCAATAGCACTTACGTGGGAAAAATCACTTTCCTTAAAATATGTGTTACACACCTACTGTGTGCCGGGCGCTGTGCTGTGCCCTGAAGGTTAAGTCACGTTTCCTTCTGCGGAAGGAAAGGAGACATGTGTTCCAAATGTCCTTTTTCCTCTCCTGTTGGTTTGTCAGCACACGGTGGGGAGCACATGCGCCCAGACTCATCACCGTGCCCACGGGTGTGGGTCTGGCGGGCAGGCCGTGCCCTCTGGAAAGGGGAGGCGGCTCTAAGATCCACTTGCCCGCAGTCACCAAACCTGTGCTGCAGCCTCCTCTGTGCTTTCGGTCCGGACCAGGCTTCTCCCCCCTCTTTCTCTAGCCGACTCGGATTTTCTCTCCTTTCCCCGCCCCCCTCATTTCTCCTCTCCCTTCCCCTGCTCACCTTCAAGCCCATAGCAACTCAGAGAAACCCTTTTATGAAGGTGCACATTTGATTTCACAGAAGCATATTCAGTGTGTAGTATTTGCTCAAAGTATAGAATTAACATTGCAAGACTGAGAATTTCTCAGGGTGGGAACTCCAGCTTCAGGGGTCAGTGTGCTAGTTTTGGTTTAGGGAAAAGAGTTCCTCTGATTCTGTCTTTCTGCCTGTCCAGCTGTCAACCTTGGGTTGTTATGGCTGGTATTCGGCCTCTCCTCACTCTCCTGCGTTAATTGTATTAATATTAGGACACATCATGTACTGTTTTAAGAAATATCCATTACTTTTATGAGATTTGATCATGGACTCGAGCCGCCTTTTTGATTGTTCACAGCCATGGAAAATGAAGTCAGTTCGCTCACAGTTGTTCATGCTGTTTGGGAGCTCACATATGCTCCGGTTCAAGCACAGTCTCGTGGGTTCATTTTCATTTAAACTTAAAAAAATATGCTCCGAGAGGGCAAAGTATAGTTAAAGAAAGGATATAAATGTAACGGCCTGTTTTTCCTTCTTGGTAATTTTTTTCAGCCAGTATATTTTCTCTTGGTTCTTACCTTGTCTTCCCCTGGGCTTTAGTCCCTGTTTTCAGTTGAGTGGGGTGTGGAGAGAACAGAGAAAGGAAGCAGGGTTTCGATCTGAGAAACATGGTAGGGGTCAGTGCACAAGCAAAAGCCCAGAGACAGAAGAGAGCATAGATATTCCAGAACATTCCAGAACAGAGAGGAGGTGCGTGGTCTTTTGTGCAGAGAGAGGGCAGGGAGGCGGCGAGAGAGAAAGCTCAGCAAGGACCCTACGGTGTCTAGTCCACCTTACGGTTTCGAACCCCCTGTTGTGCTGTGGGCAGTTATGGAAGGCTTTCAGCAGAGGACGACGGGATGCACCTGCTTTTTTAAAAAGAACAGGTTCTACTCAGTGGAGGTGTGGTCCATGGCTGCAAAGGAACTAGAGCGAGGGTGACAACTATGCTGTCCAAGGACTGAGGGGGCACTGGCGGGCCGGGCGACTGGAGGTGCCGCCCGGTGAAATGGCTGCTGCAGCGGGGGCCGGGGTGGGAGGGGCATGGCGAGCTCTGCTTTGGGGGTGTTGATTTTGGAAGTTCACCAGTTTGTAGATGTTTTAACTGCAGCTACTTGGGGTGGATTACTTTACTTAGAAAGAAATTGCAGTGGAGAAATACAAGAAGACCCCCAAGAAATATGAATGTTCAGAGGACAGAGAAGGAGTTGCTAGCACAGAGCCACAAGGGAGGGGGCGGGCCGGCCGGCCCGGGGGGTTAGGAGGGCGCTCCCGGGGCCCAGGGAGTGATCGGTGTGGTTACTGCAGCCAAGCCTTTCGGTGAGAGGAGGCCTGGGTGGGTGTCCTCTGGCTTTACCAGGAAGCCTTGTGTGTGTGGCCTCTGCAAGGCAGTTTTGCAGGGTGATGGGCAGGGGGCAAAAGTCATCCTGGAGTGAGCTAAGGGCGCAGTGGGAGGTGAGGAAAGTTAGCAGCCAGCGGGAAGGGAGGGAGGGAGGGGGCTCCTCTCCCAGGTTTGACTGCCTGAGGGAGGAATAGAGGGAGGGGGAGAGAGGGAGGAGCAAGGGCGGTGGTTGGAGATGAGTCTGTTGGGTTTCTGTAGAGTTTGTGAGTTTTTAAGATGGGAGAGACCTGGACATGTTTACGAGCTGATGGGAGGGAGTCAGTAGAGGCCGAGAAGGACGGGTGGTGGCAAGATCTGCAGGACAGGTAGAGTGACTGGCTTGGGTTGTTCTGTGAATATTTTATTTCCTTTCTAAAACCACGGAAGGAAAGACTGGCCCAGGTTGGACTCGGACAGCTCTGCAGCCTCGGCTCCCCGGATTCTCCTCACAGCCCCTCCTGCATTCACTGCTCCCTGGGGAGTCCACATTCCTAGCCCTAAGAGGTCCCGCCTCCCATTTAAAGGATGGTCGTCTTTCATCCCTGTGCAGAAGCCGGACACACACCGAGGCCTCATCCCACTGGGAGGCTCAGTTGCATTAACAACACTGACCACACCCTGGGCCCCTGCTGTGCTGTACCCCCCCCTTCCCCTCCATTTCCCCCCAACCCTCAGGGGTGGCTCTGAGCCAGGAACTCCTCTGCCCCGCCTCCTCCCCATTTAGGAGGGGAACCTGAACATCCTTTGTATTTGAACTGAGTCAGTGACAAAGCAGAGGATCAAGTTCAAGGCAGAGGCCCATTTAATTGAAAGAAAGGCTAGATAACATAGGAACAATGTCTGGAAATGTTTCTCAGACCAGAGGAAGAACGGATGAGTTGCATTCTGTGCAGTGAACATGCTGGGTCTTGAGTTTCTTGGAATCCCAACAGGCTCTTGTTAGTATCATTTAACTGATTTGAAGTGTCACGCCTGTACGCCCAGAGACAGTTTCTAGACTTTGTTCTGCGTTGGGCTTGAGTAAAGTAGATGTTCATAAGGGGAAAAGACAGCCTTCTATTTAACTGGTTTTTCCTGGGGAAAAAATTACTGTGATTTACAATGTGGAATTTTTTTCTTAATTAATGAACTTCAATTTTTAGAGCAGTTTTAAGTTCACAGCAAAATTGAACAGGAAATTCAGAGAATGCCTATACATCCCCTGACCCGCAAATGTACTTCCTCCCCGCCATCAGCATCCCAACAACAGCGGGGTGGTACATTGTTAGTGGATGAACTCAGCACCCAGACTCCGCAGATCACACCAGGGTTCCCTCTCAGTGCTGTTCAAGCAGTGGGTTTTGGCAAGCGCGCGACAGCACGTGGCCACCACCGGCGAGCAGTGCGGAGCAGGCTCTCTGCCTGTGCATCTCTCCCTTCCCTGCTCGCGTTTGCAGCCGCCCTTTTCCGTGAGAGCAAAAATGAAGACCTTGGTAAAGCCTTAATAATAGCTTTGCTTTGATTACCTTCGTACACAGAGGAAAATTCAGTCACAGACCTGGAGTTATGACTTTACAGCGGTGATTTTCAACCTTTTCCAGCTCATGGCACACATAAACTAATTACTAAAATTCTGTGGCACACGAAGAAAATTTTTTTTTGCCCATGACAAAAAATAGGTATAATTTTGATTCATTCATACCCAGCGGCTATTGTGTTGGCTGTTGTGGTTTCTTATTTGACAGCCTAAGAGGAAAAGAAGTCAGTGCCCCTGAAAACAGTCAGGTATCGCGTGTTTTAAAAATTCTTGCAGCACACCAGCTGAAAATCGCTGCTTTAAAGCAACGATGTCTAAATTCCAGCTTTGCTCTTCTCTATTCCTTGCCCGCCTTTCTAAGCTTTCAGTAATGAACATTACACCTGAAGCTTTTTTTCTCACCTCTTTGGGGGATGGAGGAGAGGGCAGAGCGACCCGCCCTTGACCATGGCCTCCAGCTGAGGATGCTTCCCGGGCTGTCTTGTGGATTGCAGTGCACCTTTCTGTTCCCGGAGGGCTGAGGAGGGGAAACTGTGGCTTTTCAAAGGTACTGACATCAATGTTCATGGCTGGACGCCTTGAGAAAGAAAGGCCGAGAAAGGTGGTTTGGTGATTAAGGAGTTAAAGCACTGGAGTTTGGGGCTATGCTGTTTACTCATTGCGACTTTGTACAGAAAATGTGTTGCTTTAAAGCTTAGGGAAACTGGTTAACTGTAAATTCTGACTTTCAAAAGTTGCTGGGAAATGCACAGGGTAAATTGGACCAAAATACCAGTTCTTCGGGGAAGAACCCCCCTCTGCCTTAAGCTTCTTTGTCTGCATAGCGTTCTCATTACCAGCCTTTACCCAGCTCTCCTGGGTTCCCAGCATCCCTCAGGAGGCCTTGGAGGAGGCGCAGTGAAGCAGGAGTCGCTCCTCCAGTGTCACCGTGCACCACTGCCTGACCTTTGCTCCTTCTCCTTTACCAGTATTCATGTTTACCTGGTACTTTCCTACTGACTGTTTTAGGCTCATCAGATTTGATGGGCTGGGTATGTTTTCTAATGCTCGGTAAAACATACTTTTATATAAGTATTTAGAAACAGGAGAATAGCCACCTACGCGTGCCCTAAAATAACCCTGCTTCTCGCTGCTGGGGAACGGCCATCCGCCACAGCCTCCTAGAGCCAGCGGACCCCCCAGGTGTTCTGCAGGTGGTGGTGGGCGGCCCAGGAGGCTCGTTATGCAGGCGAGAGGGGGTGCCCCTCTTCCGGGAGCTGCAAATGTCTAGGGAGGGCTGCTCCCTTGCCGGGCTCGGGCTCTCTCCCATTCAACTCGCTCGGTTTTGTGCATCCTTGGATTTTTGTTTTCCACCCAGAAGAAAATGCTGTTAGTGGCTGTCCTCCTGCCCCCAGGACTGTGAACTGAGGGCCCCTGCCCTGAGGAGGGGGGATTAGAGACATTCGGATAATATCCGTGTATCTCAACTACCCTTCACTGAACACCTAGCACAGGAGCAGTGGTGGCTCTGGAAATGGCGGTGACCCACCCAACTGACTGACATCCTGGGGGGTGTGAGCCGGACTACAGGGGGAAATAGGCAACAGCAAGAAAATATGACACAGCAGTAAATGTCCTCCAGAAAAGAAAACAAAGGGACGTGACAGGTGGTTGTGGGTGAACAGGGCTGCTTAGATGGGGCCCTCGGGGAAGAAATCTCAGAGCCACGAAGAATCTTCCAGGCAGAGGAAATAGCTTGTGCAAGAGTTTTGGGCACTCCTTGGGAAATACCAAGCTAGTGCAATCTGACTCTAGGATGCAGAGAAGGGAATGAGGAGCAGTGGCCGCCTGGGCCTCCCTGGAGACGATAGGGAGTCAGGAACACTGGCTTTCACGGAGAAGTCTGACCCCGGAGGTCAGCCCAGAAACGCAGTGGGCTGCAGAGCAGACCAGACTGTGTGCGCCCTTGCAGTTGACCATGAGGCCCCAAGCAGGTGATGGATGCAGTCTCTTCACTGCATTTGCTCTGTGAGGATATTAGCAGCCCCGCCTCCTGAGGCAGGTGTCTGTGGGTCTACCAGTGTCTTCCTTAACCCCTAAGGCCTTCAGGAAAGTCATTACTGGTGGAAAGAAAGTTGCAGTGGGAAACTAAGCCAAGATTGTACAAGTCACTGTGGGGGATCATTCAGTCCCCCCCCCCCCCGGACTCCTGAGAGGCTCTGGAGACCAGTGACTGGATTTCCTAGGAGAGAGATGTTTTGGAGGAATGAACTCTTGACATTTTCTTTCTTTGCAGAGGACCTTTTGGGTGGAGTTCACCCAGGCAGTACTTTTAGACACTGAGATCTAGGCCTTTTGTTTGAGGAGGAATGGAAGTTGTGGCTGTAACTTCCATTCCTTCCATAACTCTGGAAGGGCATACGTGGTATGCCTTTGGATATTTTTAAATTTAAAAAAAAGTTTTCTAATTTAACACAGGTACATGTTAAAATGTTAAAGAATACCATGAAAAATAACCTTGCCTCCTACTCCTGACTCAGTCCCCCATTTCCTCCCTGGAGACAACCACTGCTACGTTTTCTTAGAAATGCAGATATTTAACATGCTTCTTCAAATATAGTGCATGCTTCCCATATGCCTCTTGAAAGGCAGAGCCTTCTTAACTGTTTGAGTGTGCGGCAGTTGCTCAAAGGTTCGGAAGGAGGAAAATGAGAGAAAGAAGGTAGAATCATGTCATGGGGATATTGATTCCTGACCATGAGTGAATTGGGGGGCTCACATAAATAATAGAAATCGTGGCCAAGGGAAAAAATAAAAATCATACACAGCTGAATGAGCTAAATCCGTCTGCAGAGACAGAATGTTCTGGAAATACAGTGGGATCTAGAATATTCTCGTTATGTATACTCCAGGGGAATCTTTCGGTGTCTTTTATTCTTGCTCTCACCAAAGCCTGAAATTGGTGGAGGACGCCTGTGGCACCTTTCCCTTGGTACCTCTGGCAGGCAAATGCGGTCTGAGAGTAAGGGGCACGTGCAGTCCCCGGTGACCAGCAGGATGCCCTGATAGAACATGGGCAGGTTACACCGATGAGGTCCAGCATCCTGATCCAGTTGTTGGTGTGAGCACCTCACCTCCAGGAGAGGGAAGCAGGGCCACCCCGGCATTCACATTGGCATTAGAAGCCACTCAGATAATAGTCAAGAAGCTCCTGAGTTAGCACCTCCCTGTCCTGGACTCCAAATAATGTCCAGATTTTCTTACCACAGCCCCTTGAGACGTTAAAACATTGATTCTTACCCACATACTATAGTTGTAGAAATTGAGACTTATAATAGGCAAACCCTTTGTCAAGTTCAAATAAAAAGGAAATCATTGTGCACAGTTCACTTTCCTCAGAGCAAGTGCTGGTCCGGCAGTCGTGGGGGTCGAGCTACACAGAGGGCTCCCGGGGCCAGCGAGTCTGGGAACAGTGCCATCATTTTGGAAGCCCTAGATGAAAAAGCCATTTAACTCAGTGTTTTCCAAGTTTCTTTGATCATTAACTCACCACCTTTTCCACCTGGTCATATCTAACAGTCCTATTCCTCATAACACTTTGGAAAACACAAGCCTATCACATCACCAGGAAAAAATGTAATTTTTTAGTAACCTAAAAAATATCTCTCTGTAAAAGTCTATTTATACTATTTAAAATAACTTAGCTCTAATTATTTTACCTACAACAATTTAGGACCTGCCGAAGGCACCCACACAGCCCTCAGCCACCAGTAAGATTTTCTGATTCATGGAGCAGTGGACAGACACCACGGGAGGTACCTGAAACCTGCTGCAGGTCTCAGCCACCTACCAGCTTTGCGACTGGACCAAATTACTTTACCTCTGTAAACCTCAGTTTCTCTCCCCACAAATGGTGTTAATTACTACCTTATGGTCAGCACAAAAATTCAATGAATTGATTCACATAAAGCACTTGGCATAATGCCTGGCATGTAGTAAATGCTCAGAAAATACTAACCTGTATTATTCATGAGCTCCATGCAAATTTGCTGTTCAGCACAGGCTGGTAGATAAGATTCTTGTCTCAGGGATGGATGCCATCGAGATTTGATTACACTTGAGAAAATTGCAGTTGGCTGTGGTGTCCAATCTTAATGTAACTGGAGAAAAACTGTGCCCTATTGTATTCGTTTCCTAGGGCTGCCATAACAACATACCACAAACTAAGTGGCTTCCACAGCCTGAACAACAGAAACGTGTAGTCTCACTGCTCCGAAGGCCGGAAGTCACACTGTCTCCAGGGCTGGCTCCTTCTGAGGGCTGTGAACTCAGTTCTGTTCCAGGCCTCTCTTCTAGTTTCTGGGGATTTTCAGGCCATCTTTGACGTTGCTTGGTTTATAGTCACATCACCCTGATCCCTGCCTTCACACTCACAATGGCCTTCTCCCGGTGTGCTTGCCTGAGTCCAAGTTTCCCCTACTTATAAGGACGCCAGTGTATTGGATTAGGTCCCACCCTACTCCAGTGTGACCTCATCTTAGTTAATCACATCTGCAAGGACCCTGTTTCCAAATAAGGTCACATTCTGAGATGCTGGAGGTTAGGACTTTAATGTGTGAATATTTGGGGACACAGTTCAATCCACAACTGTATTGTGGCAAGTTGGTCCCAGTAAGAGCATGCAAGAGAAAAGATTTGGTGGTACACAGCTGGGAAATTTTGTGCTTGCTTTTTTTTTTTCCTTAGAACTATTTCTTCAATCATCTTTATGCACCAGAATGCATCCATTTTAAGTGTGCAGTTCTGTGGGTTTTGACAAATGTATGTACCCATGTAATCATCACACCACCCTGATCAAGATGGAGACCACTCCTGTCTTTTCGAGTTTTCTCCTGTCCGACGCCCCAGCCTCAAGGGAGTCACTGTGGATTAGTTGTTGTGATACCTTTTCTAGCATTTCATATAAATGAAATTATACAGTATATATGTATAGATATTCTGTGTTGGCTGGGTTGGTTTGTGTTTTGGGTTTTTTTTTTTTTTTTTTTGCTTGTGTCTGCTTTTAAAGCAAGCCATTTATCTGCAGGAATATAATGTAGAAGTTTTTAGTAACCATAAACCCAGTCCTTAGAATTCTGTAACTAGATGGAACATAATGTTGATAGGCCTTTTAAAAACTTTATTATTTCCTTACTATGCCCGTGGTCCTATATTAGACACCTCATACCCTCATTAAGTCCTCACATCAGCCTTGTGAGGTAAGTGTTATCTCCATTTATAAAAAGAGGCATTTTCTTTGATTGCTGCTACCTGAAAAATGGGTTTAATTGAGGGAAAGTTGAACATTTGCCAAGATTAGAGCTTCATAATATGGGAATATGCCTGTAATAGTGTTTTTAGTGAAGTGCTACAAGGTCATTGTGCGGATGAAATGAGTGTGTGATGTCTGGTGTTGAGTATGGTGCCTGACCCTGAGGCCCCCAAGTGCCACTTGTCATTACCATTATTGGTGGACTCCGAGGCTGTCACGGCTGGAGCCCCTCTCTTATAACCCAGGCCCAGCTCTTCACCCCTCAGAGCTCGGGACAGTCCACTCTCCTCCAGAGCAGGGTGGACCCGCCCCCTCTTTCATTCTGTGCCCCTAGCAGGGCTGCCTTTTATGCTTTTCATTTGCAACTAAATCATAAGCTTTCCTTGGAAAGAAAAGGTTCCCCATGAGCAACTGTGGTCGCTGCCCTGGAGGAGTTCTGCCTCCTCGGTTCAGGACAGGAGAAGGTTCAGTGACCTCGGGCCTCTGCAGGCCGCTGCAGGAGCGTGGCACGCAGCCCTGCCAATGTGCAGCCTTCAGGAAATCGAGGCAGCAAGTGCCAGCCCACCGTGGAGCTACGGTGATGTCCTGGTTCAATGCGGGGGTTCAGTGTGGGACTGTTCTTACCTATCTCGGTATTTCCAGTGCCAGCCAGGCTGGAGTAAACGTTTGCAGGCGTACATCAGTTCTTTGTTTCACACTGTCTTGTTTGGGACACATAAAGCGTTTTAGAAGTAAAACATGGAATTGGCTAGTGCCATCTTTTTGGCAGTTATTTTAGTTTTGGGGCTCCTTTTAAGTTGTCATATTTTTTATTCTTTATCTTTCATATCACTTTTCCAACTCGTTTGATAAAGGTCTGTTAGCAGCTGTGTTGACATCTGCCTCAAACTAAGTCTTTGAATTGTCTTCATATAAATCTTGAAGAAGTAGTAATTTCAGCGTAAGTGGCAATTAAAAAGCAGGAATAATACTTAAGAACCTCTACAGGGGTACCTGAGGTTCTCTGTTGTGGAGCTGTAGCAAATACTGTTCACCATCAATAATGGAGATAGGCTGTTACCTGACTTCCGTTTGGTTGCACAAGGTTGCACAGGACTGCAGTTCTCTGTGGGGAGGTGGCGCGAGGAAACAGCTGGGCACGCGTGTGCCTGGAGGCAGAGACCACCGACCCTTCTCAGCCAGGGGCTCTGAGCTGTCTCCCTGAGCCCCAGTTTCCTTTTGGGGGGGAAACATCATGCATCAGCACGTTTCCAGTCCTGAGTTTAATAAAACATTAATATGCAGATTTTTGTTACAGAGCTACTAACTCAAATACAATCCTGTGTTATAGATTAACATTAATTTTGTTACGCGTATTGTCAGACTTGACATTGAGGACGTACGCATGCTGTAATTAGGACAGGTACAGTGAATAGACTCCTGCTAGAGAGCTGTCTCATTAAGACTGAATTGAATTGATTTCAATGCTTTCTTACAAATTTTTACATTAAGAGTAACAAACGGCAAATGGTTCCAAGTATATAGACTTTTACCTCAACAGCCACCGTCTCTCTCCACAATGGTTATTTTTACATTTAAAGTATGCTAATTTCTGACCTCATCCTATCTTCTTCTTTATTACTATCTAACTAAATTATATTAGTGCAATCAAAGATAGCTTTTAAGAGAGAATTGGTAATCACTGTTTAATTTGTTTAACATTTTAAGTTTTGTATACCAATTACATGAAATAGGATATCAAGAACACTATTCGCAGGTAAAATAATTCCAGTGATGGGATTTATTTGAGTCCCAGTTTATATAAGTGGTTGAGTGAATATTAACACTCAGATCACCTTCTCTGGGTGGTGGCAAACAGGCCAGCAAGTTAAGTGCTATTAGTATGAATCTCGTTTGATTACATTTTAGGGCAGAGTCTCCATTGGAAGGTCAGTGCGTTTTCAGTTGCAAAGAGTTAGAATGGTGTGTGTGTGTCTGTGTTTCAACGGAACCCTTTCCACAAAATATTGGACTGACTTAGAAATGAGTAGTTAATATTTCAGCATCACTGTCATACCAGAGTCTCATCTTTTGCACATTCGTCATACAGAAGCACTACGGAAAGGAGGCATGTTCTGTGTTTCCCAGGGCGCTTGCATTCACACACGGGTTCTTTAAGCAGTGGCCAAGGCCTTCATTAGAGTTAGGCATTTCTGAAGGTCTTTTAAAAACACTACTTGTGAGGTTTAACATAATTGTGAAAGTTTGGCAAAGTATTTACTGTCTTCATTGAAATAGAAGCTGTACTTACACAACTTGAGAGTAAAGTAAAAGCAGCTTATTATATTCCATGGTTAATAATATCAAACATTTATTGATACATGTGTATAACAGATAATGTGTATTATCTTTCTCAGCAGAAAAGGAGTAATTGTAGAGTTTACGCCTCTGGGTATAGTCACCCACTGGTGTCCATGGAGGAATTGGGTCCAGGAAACCCCCTGCTATAGGCACCAAAGTCCGTGGATGCTCAAGTGCCAGAGTATAGCTCGTTGCAAAATGGTGTGTATCAGTGCATACAGTCGGCCCTCTGCATCTGTGAATTCCCAACTGTGATCGAAAGTAGTACTTTCCATCCACTGTAGTATTTTCACATCCAATTTATGGATGTAAAGCCCGCAGATAGGAGGGCCAACTGTATTTGTGTAGCGCTGCACACTATGCAGTGTAAAAATAAGCTGGGATCTCCCGGCAAGTTCAGAACCACTAGAACAGAGGGAATAAAGAAATAAGAATGCTCCCTGGCTGGGTGGCTCAGTTGATGGGAATGTCATCCCGTGCACCAAAAAAATCACGGTTCCATCCCCAGTTGGGGCACGTACCTAGATTTCAGGTTCAATCCATGGTCAGGACATGTACTGGAGGCATCTGATTGATGTCTGTCTCTGTTTCAAATCAATAAATATATCCTTGGGTGAGGATTAACCAAAAAAAGAAGTAAGAATGGTTGCATGAGTATGTATGTATAGACTAGTATTTTGTAAATATTCCTTACAAATAAGCA